ATGGAGGTACGAACCAGGTGACCAAAACACGATGCACCATTCCAGGCACTAAGCAGAAATCTGGTACTCAGAGCGGATACTGCTCCATCAAGAGTTCACCTGCTCACAGCACAACAAGTGGTGAGACTGACCCAACAACGATTTTTCCTTGCAAGGAGTGTGGCAAGTAAGTGAATGTGACTGTCTGCAGTATCACATCACATTTGCCTATTTATATTCCAGATGAACAGTGTTGTAGCAAACTCTTACTTTGCTCTGATGATCTCAAAAGAACAGTTTCCCTTTAGATGATATGTCCTCTTACCAGAACCTTCAGAGATTGGTTCGCATGATGTTTTGGATGCTTCCCCTGCAGTATTTACTTTCAATTTTCCAGAAACCTGCTAGAATTTTTACATCTGACAGTCCAGCTTCCTGCTTCATCACAGACTTTCATGTGACAGTGGACAACTTTGTGTTTCTGTGCTTGAGTTTGTCCATCCTAACATGGGATTCCTTTACTGTTTCCCTGTTGTGCAAGACTGCAGTGAAACTAAGTACAGGGAGAATTAGGATGTGCAGAGATACTGAAGCAACTGTGGGCGCTACAAAGTACCTGTGGCAGAGTCTGAGTAGGCCATTTTCGTACTGTCAGGATGTATAAATCTGGTAGTCTGTCCCTGAAATTCTCACCGTGGCATTGCAGACTTCACTGACTTCTATTTCAGGATAAGGAAGCAAATGTACTGATAGGTTGTTGAGTCTTTTTTGGCTCACTTCCTCAAAAGCAATGCATTTTTATCTGATTTTTTTTTTTTCTTTTAAAACTTAGGGTATTTTTCAAAATCAAAAGCCGCAATGCTCATATGAAGACTCACAGACAACAAGAAGAACAGCAAAGGCAGAAGGCTCAGAAAGCTGCTGTGGCAGCAGAAATGGCAGCCACTATTGCGAGAACTACTGGGCCAGTTGGGCATAGTTTGATCCCTCTGGATCACATGAGTTTGGTTAAACATGTTGAAAATGTTGGTGACATTGATGATGATGTTGTTCAGGAGTTGGGTGGTGTCATGGAAGAGAATGAAGTCATGGATGCTGACCTTTTATTGGATGATGAAGATGCAGATCTACTGCAGGATGATGCTGAGTTGTAAATAAAGTTGTTCGATAAAGACAGCTACTGAGCACACCCTGAATGGATCAGTCAGGAAACCTGGACTGCTCGTTTATTCCCCGATGATTGTAAACTACCTGTTGAAAATTATAATTCTTTTATCCAGGTCTAGAAAAAAAGAAATCTGCTTTTTTCCCTTTTTTTTTATTAATTTGTGTTTTTGGGGAAAAAATAAATAATTGGTACAAATATTCTTATAAGGTGTTTTTATCTGAGCTCATTTTGCTGATAACTTTTAAGGCCACTAATTATAGAAGTTCATGGTTTTGCTATCACTTCCCTCCAGATAATTCCAGTATGATCTTTAGTCTATAACTGAAGTTTCACTTTAGCCTAATTACAAGAATGATCTTCACAAATTTCTGATGAAGCTTTTTTTTTTTTTTTTTTTTGCCTGTACTGGATCATTTCCAGCATCTTCCAGAGACTAAATGTCATCTCTGTTAAGGAGATGATTACATTCTTTGTCCTTGTGCTGTCATGTTAAGGGAGGTGGGGGAAAAAAAAATTACTCTGATTTAGCTGTGGAATAGTTACAGGAGTGACTGTATAATCTGTAGTATCACAGTACTTTTTCAGTTCTGTCTTGCCTTAATGCATACATGTTAGGCAGTTTGTAAAAGCATTGGTTACACTGTACATTTTAGAGCTTCCATTTTAGCAAGGTTTTGATCTACTGATTTTAAAATTACCTAATTCAAGGGTTGAAGAAAGGAGATGATTGTATTGTTGTTCACATCATCTGATGGGAACACTGAATCAGGAACACTGCCTTGGTAATGAGATTGCACTGGAGATATATTTTGCTGTGACAATAAATCACCCTGTTGAATAGCCATCTCGGTGGTTTTAGGAGAATGTATGCTTGAGCAAGGCAGGAGCGTGCTGTCTCACCAGGCAAATACAGGGAGACCTTCGTGCCAGTGGAACAGAGATTGATGGAGAATATGCCTTCAGCACATGTTAGTTTTTACTTGTAGGCGTGAAGTGTTACTCCGGTGCCATTTTCAGTCCTCCTCATTACATCAAATTCTAATGTTGTTTATTTAGTAAAACAATCCAAAGGTGAGTTGACATTAATGTTTAACTACCATTTTTCCTCTCTTAGGTTCAGGTCTACAGGCTGGATGTCTAACACCATTTATATAAATATAGATTTGGTGTTTTCAGCAAATAGGATCTCAAAAGAATTGTACCTTGCAGAATTAAAGACTTAAGGAAGAATTGGAGTTAGGTTGAGTGGACCTTTAATTACAGAATATGAATACTGATTTTAGAGCTTTCACAGGTAGCAGCACTGATTTTCTTGTGAATTTTGCACAGTGGAAGAGTATTGCTAACTTTATAAAGTATTTTGTAAGACTGATTTCAGATCTTCCAGGTTTCAGGGTTGTTTGGGTTTTTTTATGGGTTGGGTTTTATTCATTTTTTTTTGCCACATTCCGAACATCTTAAGCAGAATCTGAGAGATGATGGATCTTATTTTCTACTGTCTTCCTTGTATAACTATGCAAAATGAGGGTAAATCACAGCACTTTTGTATCAGGGTACCAGACCATACAAGTTCAAAACCAGTGGGACTCATTGGCAGAGAGGTGCCTTCTCTGTCAAAGCCAAGTATGTGAAGCCAAATGACCTGAAGTTTCTACTTTAAGGTCAAATGTTCTGATACTAAAGAACAACCTTTCAGGAAAATCAAAATCCCTTCTCAGTTTCTGGTTAGTGAAGTTCCTGTGTACATGGTTTGTTTTAGTGTTTTTTGAGGTTGTTCCAGAGATTTTCTTGGTTGGTTTTGACCAGCGAGTGGAATTTCACTCCCTCTGCCTACGTAAGGGATGATGTTCTCAGTTACTGTACCTGTGAGATTCAGGAGATCAGGCAGCAGCCGCCTTTTCTTTCCCAAACTGCCAGTCAGCACACTCCCAGCAGTTCCTGTCCATGCTGTGACATGTCACTTTTACAGGGGCCACGTAACCCAGGTTCAGCAGACCGGGTGTTCAGCTCTATGCTGCCAACTAGATCCACTGATAATAAATATTGTAGCTTGTGCAATTCTTAGTGGTTTGCAGAGTGGAGGTTTTTGTGAGCAGTAACTTGTGTTGGGATTTTAGGAGCCTGTTAGAAGCAACCCAGCAGAGTCTATTCTTTCTCTTCCAAACTTGGATCATTTTGAACTTCTAAGGATCTTTCTAAGAACGGCTGCTACACTGGAAAATGGAAACATTTTCAGATTCCCCCGTTAACAGTGGGGAAAAAACCTGAGTGTTTGAGCAAAGCGATAATTGAAGTCAGTGAGAGTTCTGCTTGAAGAACAGAGTGAAAGACAGTAGAAACTTGTGGACTTGATTCTGAAGAGCAGCTCTATATTAAATAAACTACAGTGGAACTTTTCTAGCAACAATTGGACAGGTATCTGTGCTAAACTTAGTATATATGAAAATATATATACATACATATATGCCTGGTTCTGTAACATAAATTGGGTGCTGTTTTATTGTACAGCCAAGAAGATAATAGAACAATGATAACCAAAGAAGTTATTCATAAAGGAAAAAAAGAAATACACATTTAAGCAGTACACGATTAAGGCCTCAGACATCAACTTCATTATTATTAAGTGTTGCATTGGCTGATGTTAAACAGATGCTGTTCTGCCTATTTGTACATAAGTTGGACATAGTTTTATTTCAGAAAACTTATTCTCTTGCTGATGGTTGATGGAAAACTGTTCACTATTGAATTTAGTCATCTTTGATAAAACCTGTACATATAGAAAACATATTTTATGAGAAAAATCTTATTTTCAATATTTAAGTGTTATTTTATTAGAAGATGGTTGTAAATATTTTAGGTGCTTTAGTGTAAAAAGCAGACTGTAATTTTAGGTAGCAGAGGAAGTAACAAAATAAAAAAATATACGTTTGATATAGCTTGTGATCTATGCTGGTTTCAGGTGCCTGCTGTTAGCGTTTGACTTGCACACAGCTTAATTTCAGGTTACTACCTACCTGGATGTGTGTGTTAGGATGGCTTAGTGATGTGAATTAGTACTTGTTTATTATCCCCTCTCCCCCTTAAATGTTTGGTACCAATCAGAACTTGTGTTGTGATATTAACTGCTACATCTATGTGTAAAAAGAAGGGAGTTTGTATGACATTTCCAGTCATTTTTATACTTTGGTAAAATACAGTTGGCTGGGTTTTGCTAACAGGCTTGTATACTTTTTTTTTTTTTAGCTATTTTTAAGAGGGGGGGAAGGATTAAAACGAGGTTCATGTGTAATTGTTTTTCAAAGGATTCCTGAAAATATTTCATGTATTCACCTCTAAACTTAGTGCTGGACATGAGTATTCTTGGTAAGAACGAGTTGTGGTAAAAAGCGTTGTCAGGAAGGGGGAGAAAGCTGAAGAAACCTTTTACCTCACACCTTCAGCAAAAAACAGTGTCACCCGCCCTGCGTCGGGGTCGGGAAAATGAACAATTTCTGCTTTCTACCCTCCGGCAGCGGGTACCTTCTCCGGGAAAACGGGACGGAGAGCGCGTGTGAGGGGAAAGAGGGGCGACCGTTAGCGGGAAACCGTTTGGGCGCGCGAGGAGGTGAGGAGAGCCGTTACCGCCTCAGCCCCTTACTGAGGCAACGCTCGGGGGAGGCGGGGACGGGGGTGGGGAGAGGAGTTGGGAGCTGGTATGGCGCCATACGAGCTCCCAACTCGTCACCCCACCCCCGAGGGTGCCGCAGTGCCGCCGCCTCACCGAGGGTGCTCGCTCCGCCATGGCGGCGGGGGCGCTCTTCAGTCGCCTGGGTCTTCGGCGGCGGGGAGGAGGGGGGTGGTGGGTGAGGCCGCTCTTCTCCTTCCGGGCCGAGCGCGATGATCGGCGAGTTGGGGGCGGAGACAAGATGGCGGCGAGGTGGCTGTGGCGGCGGCTCTGTCAGGTGGGGTGTGTGGCGGGAGAAGGGATGCTTGAGCGCTGTTCTCCTTTTCTTCTCATTTTCCTAAGGTGTCTTCGCTCCCGAGGGGGAGACGGAGAAGGGAGCGGGAGCCGCGCAGGTTCAGCCGCATGGCTGAGGGTCGGTGCTCGGCGCTGTGCAAACCCCCAGCATCGCGTCCCGGGTGTGAGCCGTATTGGAGCCGGCCCGCCCTTCTCGGTGGGCTCCCGCGGGCAGGGGAGATCGCAGGTGGCTTCCTTCTGGCTGCGGGAAGGTTGGAGTTTCGCAGCGCGGGGCTGTGTCTCTGCCCCCTGTTATCGGCGGAGCGGGTCCTCCGAACTCCTGCAGACCTGTTTTTGTGGCGGTTACTCTGGGTGTAAGGGATGACGCAGAGTGATGATGACTTGGATTTGGAGGTCATGTGCCAAGCCTGTTTCTGGTCTTAAAAATTGTAAATTTCGAAATTACAATGTTAAAAAAATAGGAAAACTTTTTACACTGTTTATGTTTTCTGCTCGTTTTGACTTTTAAAGAGTGACTATTTTCTCTCAGGTTGAGAAAATTTGATGTTCGGGGTTTCATAGTCATTTTCTGAAGCCCTAAACTGTTCTGTGTATGCATTGTGTTCTGACGTGCTTGCCTTTCAAGTATCTGTCTCCTGAGTACTTCAGAATCTTTCAGCTGAACAAAGATGTTATTTTGCATTAGGGGAGGGCTAGTTTTGTTTTGTGCAAGGCCTTGGTTCACACAGGAAACATCAGTTCTGTAATGTTGTAGCCCGAGTGTCTTTTCACCCTCTACGATGGCCACAGTGCACAAAGTCTGTTTAAATTGCAAAATGAAGTAAGCAAAATATACTTTACTGCCTGCTGAACACTATCTTTACTACTTGAGGTACTCAACATTTTGTCCAGATTTGTACAGATCACCTTTTCATTTTATTTTACAAAAACACTTGACTCCATGCGTACTTGCATAATTAGTAACAAAAGGAGATGGCATGTGGTGGGAATAATATGCACAATCACTGATTATTGTAAAGGCTGCAGAGCTTGGTATGTGGAATAGAACTCTACTGTTCCATCATGTTTTGTTTGACTCTATTACAAGAAGACAGAAATTTTTGTATCCGAAACCACATAACACAATGTTGCATGCAAATAATAAATCTCTATTACAAGATTAAGCAGTTAGAAGTAAAAGAATACACAGCAAAGACTGCATACACACCCAAAAAACAAAACCAGATAGAAGTTTTAGTTAAAATTCCAGTCAGTAGTTATATGTTTGTCATCTGGGGTTAGGTTCTGTGCTATACACTTGCACACACAGTTTAAGCCCTGCACTGAATACAGCCTTTTATGCTTATAGGCTTGCCTGCTCTCTGAAGTGATGTCAGGTGATGATAGTGTATTTCATATTGGCATTGAGGGAAAAGGAGGCAGTATTCTCACTTCAAAGATAGAGAATTGAAGTGCAAAGATTGAGATCATTTTATCATATGTATGTCTTTAATTTTTGGTATTAAGGCTCAGTTAGTTCCCAACATGAACTTTGAAATATTCAGAATGGTCATCAACTATAGCAGCAAATATTCAATGCTCTTAAAGTTGCTTATTGTGTCATGCAATTAAGAATAACCCTGGTGCTCATCTGTGAACACCTGGATTTGAAAGGCTTGCCTAAGGGGAGACATTGAGCTGTGCTCTACAGACAACAGTCAGATTTCTAAACAGGACTTTCCTGCCTCCTCCTGCAGGCATCTTCCTTATCGGATGCAGAATGTGTAGTGTAAACAGTGAAGGCGGCAGAATTACTTCAGAAAACAGCTTCATTCACTGCTGATCTGTAATTAATATATAATGCATATTGGAGAAGGTTAGGGTCTTGATAGCATTGTATAGTTAGTTATGCATATCCATGAGCAGGTAAATTAAGATTACCTGGAAAAGTGTCAGTTCTGGCAGTTTGCTGATGTTTTGATTATACGGTCACCTACATAACTGATGTGTGGGATATCTGTCTTCTCTCTTAAAGCTATCACTCCAGCACCTGTTAAATAAGAGCAAGTGGCCTGATAAGTCGCTAATTTTGCTTCAGCATTCTGTTTCAGCCCTAAGTTTCTCTAAAGCAATTGAGAGTTCTGGTTTCTGTTTGGGCTGTTTTGTTTTGTTTTGTTTTTTTCCTCTCCTCAAATAGTCTATAACTTTGCCAAATTGAGAATTAGAGAAAGGAAGCTAGAAGCCATATAATGATCAGAAGGGAGCAATTATGCTGGTATGAAAGACAGTAATATTACATCTTAATCAAGAGTTGTATTCCCTTTTTAACAAATTAAAAACATGTTATCTTTTAACTATGGTTCACTTACTTGTTAGAGGTATTCTTATTTAAATGTTCTCTTCAGAAAAAACAGGTGTTCGAAATCATAAGGAACTTTTTGCTAAAAAAAAGGAAATTTCCAGTTTAATTCAGAAGTTGGTTTTTTTGCATTAATAAAATACTGTTTTCAATTACTTTTACAACAGCAAGTCCTACTTAGGCTTGTCACTTGACAAAACTGATACATATTGTGCTATGAAAGTAAAACTAAAGAGAAAGTATTATCATATACAGAAATGGTATCTGATGCCACACAAAATACATTTTTCTGCTGAAAAAATGCTTTGCGATTGCTATTCAGGTGCATCACTAGTAAGTTCAAACTGATACATTGTTCTGTTAATGTGTTCCTTTTTTTGGATGCTGTTGTATACTAAAATACATTTCCAAGCTCCTGTTCTCCTGCGTTTTCTGACAGAGCAAACTTTGTAGTTTGGCAGATCAATGCCTAGGAATGTATTCTGTTTCAGTGTGCAAAAAGTAACCTTTAATAAACCTGTATTAACTGGCTGCTTTTCAGTTCAGGAAAAACAATCGATAACCTATTTGTTTTATACAGGGATCAGCTTTTTCTGTCAATTATGCAAGCAGAATTTTGCAAAAGCAGTGTTCTCTTCTGTAAGTAGAAAAGGCCTTCCTTTCCGCTTCTCCACACTCCCTAAAAAAAAAATTAAATCCAACTATAATGACTTATTTTATGCTTTCCCAATTACCACATTTCTAGAAGCTCCAACTTGATGGGAGCACGGCTGGCTGGATCCCATGTTGATACACAGGAGCCTAAGACTAATCCTTTGGTAAGTGTTTTATAGAATAGTATTTTGTATAGCGTCTTAGTAATAAAGAGGGTGTATAGAAAATACCTGAATATCTTTATTGCAGCTTTTTTAAGCTCTGTTTTAATGATGTCAGATTTGCTCTAGAGAAAGAAAGACTTTAGATTATTGGTATTTGAGATTTTTTTTTCTAAGCAAAATTTCTGTAGCTCACAGTTGCCTCTTAGTAATTTTCTTCCTTCTCTCTGGAGCTGTAACTATGAAATACTGGCTTTTTGGCCACATCCAGTTCAGTGCCTGCACCAGCTTAATCAGCCCAGGGCCTTTGTCTCTGGCTTGGAAGCTGGGAGCCCAGGGCTGATGAGGTGGGAAGTTCATGAAGGCATGTGGTGGATATCTTGCTTTTAGATTCCAAATGCTTTCATTTTGACTAGGACTTCAGTAACACATGCTCAATCTGTATAATACATGCAAGCAAGCCAAAATCTTAGAGGCAGTATTAGATCTACAGTGCAAACACAGCCTTCCTGCCCTGTCTGGTACCTGCTGGATTTACTGTGCTAAACTGCCTGGGAGTAAACCTGTGATTCCTGGACACATCGAGGCTTTTCAGATAATCAGTGAGCCCAGGGCGTCAGAAATTGAAGCTCTAACTGAAAGTCACAAATTTTTAAATGAAAGTTGTGAACTTGTACCTGGACAAACACAAAGGATAATATACCTGGGGAACCTACTATGTTTAAAGTAGTCTTATAACAGTGAGAATTTTGGTTACTGTCCATATCTAAGCGAAGTCTGAGAATTTCATGTATGCTTACACCGCTATTTAAAATACAAATACTGCTGCACCAGACTTGCTTTAACAATAAGTTTCATTCTGGCCTTTGCTAGTGTTGTCCTCCTTATATTTATCTGGCATTCCCTTTCCTTTTACGTTCAAGAAATTTTACCTAAATCTTCAGAGGTAGTTAGGTATATCTTCACACTTTTGCCTTCCCTGACAAGTGAGAACTGTCAATCAAGGTAATACTGTCAGACTTGCAGATAAACTAAACTAAGCAGCTAACAGTGTGTGGGTTTTTTTCCTCTGTTGCAAATGGTGTGCACAGGCTAAGAAAATACACAGTGCATGCATTAAGGAGCACATGGAGTGGTAACACTCGATCTTTCTTTAAAAATGCAGGTATCTATTTCAGATGAGCCAGAAACACTGTACAAGAGATTGTCCCTTTTAGTTAAAGGCCACGATGAAGCTGTGTTGAACAGCTATGAATATTTTGCAGTGCTTGCAGCTGAAGAACTTGGCATCTCTGTTGAAAAAGTGTAAGTAACTGATCTGTAGAGTGATGTGGTGTCAGATGCTTCTTATGTCATCTACTGTAATTCAGGTTCTGTGTTTAGAAGTATTTTCTCTTTTTCGGAAGGAACAGGTGTAGTCTGACATTTTTTTCTCAGATTATAAATCTAACATTTCTTAAATGGCAGTGTAGTGATGAGAAAGCAGCAGCAGTTCTACACTCAGCACTGCCGCACTAGAAGTGCATTTTAACTACAGGAAGGATACTGACAGTACTCTAAGTACAGTTGTCAGTGCTCTAGCTTCCCTGAACTAATGCTTGTTAGTACCCGAGCATTAACCATGCCCATGTGGGTTAATAGTAAACTGTACCAGTGTTTAATACTTCCTTCTATATCTTCTGAATGTCAAATAAGAACAGGGATTTCAGCATAATCTTTCAGATATGTGTTAGCATGCTTTATATAAAATTGAATTTTCTTTTTGTGCTTTGTTCAGATATAAACCTCCAAAGACGATAGAACGATTGACACTTCTAAAATCTGTACACATTTACAAGAAGCACAGAGTTCAATATGAAATGAGAACGCATTACCTGTGTTTGGAGGTAAGAAAGATGTTAAAAAAAAAAAAAAGTTATGTTCTAGGTGCACAATTCAAATATGTTAATAGATGTTGGTTCAGGAGCGAACACAAGCTTCCAATGTACTTAGGTTGTGAAGGAGGATGCAAGGAAAAGCAGAAAGCAGCTGAGCTGGGTACATGTGATTTACTGCAAGTTATTCTGAATGTACAGCCTACATAATTTGTGGATCAAAAGGCTGATTTTGACCATCATTTTAACAGCTGAAAGAATGACTAAAAAATAAGGTAGAATCAAGAGTTATATGTTTTATGATCTTGGTTTCCAAGAAACAGTGGGATAGGCGCTTTCTCCAGAAGGGAAGAAAATGCAACTAAATCATTGTCATTACCGGTCACTAAGGGTTCTGTTCTTTTTGAGTTTGTCTGCTATTTTTGAACACACATACTCTTTTGCCCTATGCAACTTCATGTGGCAGGCTAGAACTGTGCGAGGGAAATACAAGAAAGGAAGCGTATACAAACCACTAGCTCTTGGCTGATGACACAGACTTCTGTGTGGTTTAGAATGCAGTTGTGGTCGACTTTCTTAGAAGAAAGGTTTACTACCAACATTTTGTGGCCTCTGGGTGCCTTACTGTATATTTGCATGGTGCTTAGCAAAATGGGACTTTGCTTTAAGTCCCCAGACATTAGTGCAGTACAAATGGCTGCCCACAAACCATAAGCACTATTTTTGCCATTCAGGAGAAACTAGAAAATCAATAATTCAATAGAATTCTGATGTTGCAGGATTTATAACAGGCTTGAACTTTGAGAGTATACAAAAGCTGGTAATTCTTGTAGAACCTGTAATTAATTTCATCCAATACCTGTGTTAGGATCCACCAATTCCATCATATCAATGCATGTGATCACAGGCAGTATGCGCAGTTGCACGGAGTGAAATAACTACTTTATGTTTACAGGAGAGTTGTGTACGGCTCAGCTGGCTCTGTTCAATATTTTGGAAGCTGCCTTTCCTGTAAGATGTTGAATCCTGTAGCAAGAGCTAGAAAAGCTAGGGCATTTTTTTTTTTATTCTGTTTCAAGTATTATTAATAGTAGTTCATTAAAAAAACATTACTTCTGTTTTAGTTAAAATACCTAACAAGCAGTACTGCTGCAGTTTACTTGGAGTACGTTCAACGAAACTTACCTGAAGGGGTTGCCATGGAAGTAAAAAAGGTAAATTTCCATCTCACATTATTAACTGTTATGAGGCTAAGTCCTGATGCAAGTACAAAAAACTACTGAAGTCTTTAGAAAGTCAGCAGAGATGTGTGTAGTTTGGAAGGAACATTTTCCAAAGTATTAAATGGTAAAGAGGCTGTATTGCTTGAAAATGTCACTAGGTGGCATTTTTAATTTGATAAATCTCTCAAACCAGAATAAATAAAGCAAGGTAGTTAGATGTTAACTAGGTGGTGTAATAAATTAGTTGCTTTGCTTTCCTTTTAGACTAAGATAGAGAAAATACCTGAACACATTCAGGAACCAGTTTGGGACGCACTACCTCAAGTAGAAGAAACTGAAGTCAAGTCATGAACTCACCAGGTACTTGGCTCCATTAGTGCTGAAATTAGTTGCTTCTATCAACCTAATTTACCAAGACAGTCTAATGTTAAATAAAAGTTCTTTTATGAAGTAATTATATAAACTCTTGTTTCATTGAGTTATTCTTGGTCATAACTCTAGTACATGTAGACTGAACAGCTATAAACTGAAGAAGTTTGACTGTACTCTGGGATCAAGAACTATGGTCATCTATCATATGTTTGTAGAAAGGTTAAATTTATATATATGTGTGTGTGTATGTATTTACATATAAATGGATATAAAAATCAATCTCATTTTGATACTGAATGACTTCTGAATTCTGAAATACTTGTAAAATCAATTTCACATTTGTATAATGTTTAATATTATGGATGCCAGATTGTTACACATTTTTTGCTATAGCTCTTCTGAGGTAACTGAATTCCAGGTGTACATACAGCTTGCATATTAACTTATAGTAAGTCAAAACCCACAATCTTAGAGGACACTGAGGCATACTGAGATTCTTCTAGGCTCCTACAGTTCCATTAACATCTTTTCCAGTCTTAGTAACTGCTTGCTTAAATAACAACACAGTGATCACAGTATAAATCTGAGACTTCTACAGGCTTACATCTCTGACTTAAGTGAATTGCTTGTAGAACCATATTGCAAAGCAAATGGGTACTAGAAGGTGTCATTGTGAATAGGACAAACAGTCCATTAAGTTTTAGTTCACTACAGGGAAAGGCATGGCCTTTTTCTAAACTAGCTGGGTTGGTTATTGTGTAAACCCAGTCTAGCTGTACGCTGCTTATGCTTAGAAGGGAAGAACAGTACAAATAGCAAAGGAGTGCTCAAGTGCTTTGAAGGTTAGTTCACCGTGAATCAAAGGAGATAATACTAGGTGCAAAGACATCATCAACTTTACCTTCAGATTGCATTAAACACTTCTACCTTTACTAGGTTAGCAGGAAGGACACAGCTGCAGGAATCTGCTTCGGTATTAAGGGGGAGCTTTGATTTGGCTGCTATTAAAGGAATTTACAGAGGGAATAGCCAGCTGGGTCACAGGACAAAACAACCAGAGAGGCTGGATCATACTTATCAAGAGCTCTCACAGCTTTATACAGTTGCAACAGACAAGAAGCACAGTGTTGTTATCAGATAGTAGTGGACAATCTTAATGGGAAATAGCTGAAAGACAAGAAGGCAAGCTTGTGCTTGAAGATTGTCTGCATTTTCTAGCAGTAGAGAGGCCCAAAGCTGTTTTAGGAGAGGTATTTCAAGACAAAGACAGTCATTCGTGATAGAAAGGAAGCTGCCTGTGCATCTTCTACAATATGCCATTAAAAAAAAAAAAAAAAAGGAAGTTAATGAAAGCCCTTATGGGAAGATATAATGCCTAGTTCTCCCTTCAAGGTGTTTGCTTTCCTCAATTTCAAGCTATTCTTCCTTTCTCTCATTCCTAGTATTCAGTCATAATAGCATTTCTTAAAGTCAGACACTGACGTGAAGGAAGAAACTGTGAGCTGACCTGGTTAAATAAAGCTGGCGCTTCAAAGGAACAGCCTCTTTCAAGTCTTTATTATATTTTCTTCAAATTTGCCATGCTTTAGTTTTGCATAAGCCACCTGCCAAGTTCAAGCTTGTATAGAATAGTATAGAAATGTGACTGTGCTCAATTCTGTCTTTCCACATCTTGGTTTGATGGATGGTAAGATTGAGGGGTTGTATTTTACTATCTTTGGTGTTCTACTCAGTTTGCAGTTTTTGGCTAAATGGACAGTCAGCATGGCTTTTCAGTTGGCTCAGAGTTTTAGTTACCAGACCTAAATAGGAACAGACTTAGGAGACAGCTGCAGAAAGTATTAACCCACATAAGCAGCCCTCTGGCAGAAAGAATACTTGATCTTGCGAAAGATATATTATTAGAGAATTTCTTGCTTCCAGCCTCGTGTATTGGGGAAAGCCAATGTACGTTTAAAGTGACCTCTGGACCTTAACTGTGGTGACCGAGCCATAGCTAACAGCCATCACAGATCATCTCCACCCCAAAAAAGCAGAACTATGACCTATGCAGAGTCTCTGACCATTACAGGCCAATATTTACTAGTCCTGTTACCTACTAACCTCAGTACGCTGCACTTCTCATCCATATTTTTCCCTGTATGAAACTTCCTCCCTTTTAAGACTGTGATCCTTCCCTGCTTCCTCTGTATTCCCCTTCATGTTTATGGGTTTTCTAAGGCATTACCAACGTCTTTACCTCTAGCTATGCATTTGCATAATGCTCTAACTGTGCAATATACTCTGATGATCCTTTTTCATTCACTAATGGGGCTTCTGACTTTCACAGAATGTTCCCGATCCGCACTTATAAAACTTCAGATAAACTATTTTGTAGGATAAACTATTCTCATTCTTTACTATTTTTCCTATTCTTTTACCACAATTCTCCAATTTTGCCTTCTACCACCTTTCTTATCAAGTACCAACAGCAACACTCCAGTCGTTGCTTTAGGTCTTGTCTCAAGTCACCCTTCCACCTATTGACCGTCTCATTTTCAGTCAGAAAATTTTTAGTATTTTTAGTTGAATTTTAGAGGAAGTTAATAAAAATGCCATGCTTCATACAATGTATAAACATCAGTATCTGAGCATGCTGTACTATGTTCTAGCGAGTATTGAGTTCTTATGACACCCAGAGCTTAAATGATACCTGTCTGAAGTGCCCACTTTTGCATTCATAAAGCAAAATTGCCAGAATCGGCAATTTCATGCCCTGAAATAAAGGCAACATATGCCACACAACATGCTCTGTGCATCACAGCAATGCATTCCTACCTTCCTAGAACTCCAGCTACAGTCTGAGACTCACACCTCACTGTCAGTGTCACTATATGTGTCAACTAGCACTTCCTCCCTAAGGAGGGAGGGAGAAGTTTTTAGGCAGGGAACTGAACAAAGTCCTTAGGATCAGTTCAATATCACTGCCTTTTTTATATGAAGGAAAGCTGGATGTAAAGACTTGACAGCATGCAGTAGCAAAGTTTGACTCAGTATCCAGTAACCTGCAGTCTCACCCTGTAATCAGGACACAGATTCTTAATACTGCCGCTCTCTGGCTGATCCTTCATGAGTCTCATCTACCAAATAAGTTTAACCCAAGTCAACCATTCAGAGTTGATTTTAAAATGTTTGGTTAAGCTAATGCTCTGTCTTTCTAGATGGAGTTTTACTATATATGAACTTAGGCAACAATTAGCCTTCGACCTAATTACCTCTGCTTTCCTTCCTGCCAGTTTAGGTTTCCCTGTGATTTGTGTGTGGCATTCAAAGAGACACCTGTAGTCTGAAATCCAATCAGGTTCCTTCCACCCCTTTGCAAATAGCTGTATTCAGTTCTAGCCTGCTGGAATACTCCCACTGAGTGCTTTAGAACATCTTCAATAGAAAAGAACTGAAAATGCTCAAGAACACAGACAGACCAATGAGCAAATACTTGATAAAGTTTTCCCTTATTTAAAGGCTAAGGCAGACAACCCAAACTATTTGCATTAACAGAAAGTAAATGGTGCTCTTCTGAGTACAGTTCCTCACTGTCAGAAACTGCTTTATGAGCATTCTTGAGCTTGTACGGGTAGATGTCTAGCATTATCTACCAGTAAGAGAAAATACTTTCCCAGGGGTCATAGAAAATAGATGCCATGTAAAGCTGTTACAGAAACCCACTGAGTGGTAGCAAATACTAAGAAAAGTATCATGAAAGCAATTGCCAGATATGACAGTGAAACTTCTTAATTTCAGTAATTTCAGTGGTCTCAATCTAAATAGGAGCCATGCTAAATACTGGCACTGAACATAGGCATGTTTTCAAGTCCATTCAATCTTTAAAATTCTTGGTCACTGCCAGTAAGCTGGAGGTGGATTTCCTTCCACAATTGCTTTGTGACTAACAGCTCCCAGCCTACTTGAGGTGTCAGAAAATATACAGACCAGTACATTATATAAATAATACAGAATGGCTGTTTATAAAATTTTCATGTTTATCGAATAGTCTAAAACTAAAACCACAGCATTCATTTACATTACATTTTCTTTGAGCCATTTAACCATTTAAAAATTGTCAGGAAGACTTTGCTCAAAGGCAGGTGTGGCAGAATCTTCTTACTTATGAATTAAAGATATTTTTAAAACAGTCTAAATTACCCTGTGTTTCCAAGATACCCAGAGTTCATTTGCCATATGACCATATCTTTCAGTACAAAACCAATTTGTGAACAGTAATTTCTGTATCATTTAGTAAGGCATTTAAAGACACACTCCAAATTTATTCTCAGTATTTAATGGAAGTGCTCTAGATCACCCACTCCCTTTCTTATACATGCCAGGGGTCACCACTCATGCCTGGAATGTTACTTCAATTTTGCTTTCTACAGTTGGTCTTAATCATACCGCTACCACAATTTAACTGTCATGTTAGCTTTAATTTGACTATATAGCAAGCTTCTTGCTTTAGAAGCTTTTCCTGCCAGTCTCTGCACTTCATGTGCCAGGAAATTAATTATTATCTACCTGTTATTCCAGGGAGCACTGGAATTACAGCAAGTCCAAGGGAAGGTAATTTACCCAGGAAGTTCTGACATGAGAAGGGTCTGCTATTTCTGTAATACAAAGCTGTAGTTAAAATTACTTTGAGTGTGCTATTGTCTTAGTTCAAACTGCACTAAAACAGGCGGAGTCCACTATTTGTCCCTTCAGATTAGAAATTTGGGAATAGAACCTCACATGCCAATCATGGGTTTTCCCAGCATGGGCCACTAGGAAGTGCCACCCTTCCTCTAGTTTCCGTGTTTTTGCATCCACAAAATAGCACAACTGGCTTTAAAAAGTATCTTTCCTGTCATAAGAGTTGGGAAAATTTCTTGCTCCTATTTACACATTCATTTCATTCTCAGGTTTCCTTCTGACTAGTTTGCTGTGATCTTCTCAAGTTCAGGGTTTTTTTCCCACAAAAAAATAGTATTCACTCTTGTCCATTTGTGTGATGAAAAGTGGAAGTTATATTTCTGACAGTCCTTCATAAATCAACCGTGATAAATCACTAAGGACCTCGAGGATCTGAGTGTTAGACAGCATATTAGTGCACCAGGGAATGGGCGTACCACTGAACACCCATATATACTCAGTACGTCAACTGACTCAGTTTCTTTAAGATACAGGAATCAGAGAGGTATTTCATTTACAGTAAGAATATGGAAAAATCCCTTTTAATACAGGCAGTTTATTTGTTCAGGTCGGTGCACACAGCACATGTGAAGTTTCTCTTCTGTAACATTTTTCTACATACTTTTGCATAGTCAGAGGACAGCATTGTGGGATTTGGGGTTTTGCATCCCTCTGAAAAAGAAGTTACTGTCTCACTGTTCAATCCAAAATTCCTAGTTCTTTTTACAAAAAGTACCTGTCTTTGGAAATGCTACTTATTGAATTACAAGAAACACGATTGATAAAAATTACATGTTTTCTTCTTTGTACTTAAATAAAACGCTACTTGATAGTATCAGAAAGCATGCAATCAGTGTATCACATCTGCTGATGCAAAGTCTTTCATGCATCAGCACATTATTATCACTTATCTTTCATTCCCTCCTGCCATCTAAATATTAACTCTTTGCTTCAGTATTAGAATGTTTCTAGTTCAACATAATAGGGTTTTTTTGTTAGTTACTGAAAATATTCATAGGGCTTTTTCCCTAAGCCATTAGAGTACAAAAGTTTCAGCTTTTGCTCGGAGGAAGTTAAAATATCTACATTATGCAGACATCATAACTGAGTAACACCAGCAAGACTCCAGACATGCACAACAACTTCAGATACCTAGAATTGATTAGAGCTGCTTTAGCCTGTGGTGATCATGCTGCAAAGAAATTAAAGAGCAGAAGGTTTAGTTTGCCATCAGAAATCAAATGGAGTGATGAAACTTTGAGACCAAAACAATCATGCTGTATTGTCCAAGTTGGAACATTAAAAAAATATAATTAGTTTAGTAACTACTTGGGAGAAAAATGAATTACAGTATTTTAAACAGGATCAATTTTAAACTAACTAGTTCTTCCCTAATGTTGGCACACACCCAAAACAGCGAAAGTCATAATGCAGGTTTCTTTCCTCTTTTCTCTAGTGTATCATTCAAATCTATACCTTTATTTCACTTTCAAACATTTAATAACCTGTCCCAATGCAGAATATCACGGGTTGGAAAACCTGGCCTTATATACTCTCTCCAAACTGGGCATGGATGTACTGCAGAACTAGTTTGGAACACTGAAAATAATGTATCTGTTTTTCTGAGTGTCTGCAGACGGTTTAGGGCTATGTCTTCATCCCCTTCTTCCATGTTCTGTTTTCCATTTCTGGCATACAAGCTGGAATGCACATGTCTGCCAAGCTGTCAGTTAAGCTATCTACTGTATTCTGTGTGCTTTTACATAAATGTTTGTGGGTTTGGGGGTTTTTTTAAGATAATTTTGCTGTAGACAACACATGGATTCAGGCAGCTTATGTGGTTAGTGTACCTTGGATCTTCCTAAAATGATTCCCGCCCACCCTGCCCCAAACCAGCCTAAAATTTTAAGAGACATTACATTTAAGATAATATCTTATTCTGCATATTCCATACTTTTTCAGTGCATAAGATGGATAGTTCTTTAAAGAAGAGTAAGTTAATTGTAGTGTTTTTACATTAGCAATACATAATAGTAACTGCAGTGTGAGGAATTACAGTGTCGGTAAACGTAACAACCATTTTATTGTCAAGAGAACTGCAGCTTGATTTTCAACAACATCACTGAAATACAGCTCACACTGGGTGGTGGAAGTAGGGGGTGGGGAAAGCAGTGGCAAAGCAGTTTCTAAACTTATTTTGCTGATGGAAACTATTAGGCTAAATATGGCTATTTGAGAACAGATGTTTAATAAAAAAGCGCTCAGCAGTTCAGTTCTTAGCTAAATTAGTTTTGCATAAGAATAAACAAACAAGCAACTTGCATACGTAAGTAAAAAATATTTGCCTGAGTAACTTTTTGTTGATCATTAATGCTAGAGAGAGATAAAGAAGTTTTAAAAATCTGTGTCACCATAAATATGGCCATGCTCTGCTCTTCCAGTAGGTCATCTTACCACCTCCAATTAGCTTCAAAGGTTGATCGTGTTAACCCTTAGAAGATAATAGCATCATTCATTCACCAAAAAAGTCATACCACACCCTGGAAGTCCTACAAGTGAACTGGCCTGCTGTGATGGCCAACTCCACAGGTACTCGTGTTCTTATGCAGAGAACTTTCAATTCCATTAAGTAGCCTGTAAGTAGAAATTTTTGTGCTAAAAATTTAATTTTATATTTTAAATCAGCAGGTATTTTGTCATGGATCTTCTTTTTTATTTTCATTGGTATTTATTTTCTTGCTGTTCTCTACATTTATGCAAATAGCACACCAAGGCAACATCAAGGTACTTGCCTATGCGTTGGTGCCAGATGTTGCCAGGAAAGGAGTGATATATAGAAAGAGGCAACAGAAGATTAAGCAAGGGTAGACTGAGATGAAGGAAGAAATGAACTCTTCTGTTACCCTTCACATTGTTTCAAGCCAGTATCTTAAGAGTTATGCATCTTTCCTGTATGCCACAAAACAGCTTATAGTGAATAAATCAGCATCCAACTTCATAAGCTATGTGCCTCAGTCCATGGTGTAACTTACACTGCCTAAGTAACTTATGGCAAAATGATTTCAAGTTTAGCTTTCCATTTGTGCATTTGGGTAGGAAAAGTGTGTGATCAATACATTTATTCCAATTAAAACATACACTGAGATGAAAAAATGTCATCTGTCAAGGGAAAAAGCAAAAGTAGTAGAAGAGCAGGCATGAAGAAAAGCATAAAAGTGAGTTAGTGCACTGGTAAATGAAATGAGACAAAAGAATGAAGCTAGCAATGAGGAAACTGTTCAGATGAGCAGAGTTCTCTAAAGGAAGTGGCTTTCATAAACCATGTGTCTCTGGAACATGTCAAGCAGATAAAAGTACTGAAGATACACAGGTAGCAGCAGCAGACTTCTGCTGACAGGGCTTAATCAGGGCTGCTGACAGAATTAGGTCAGCAGAACAGATTACAGATAATTCAAGCTTTTTGCCTTGGTTTTCTTTCCAATATTATTGCTGGAATCAAAGACACTGGTGCTTAGGAAATCTGTAAAAAGAACATTGCTGGTGATATGTTATTGTGCTAGCAACTAGAAGCTGAAGCTCCAGTGTAAATGATGTGATTTCACTTCTTCAGAAATGCAAGTTCAGCTAGCAACTTGGTTTAAAATTTTTAAGTGGAGGGAGTGATTAGCAAATGCATTTCATTTAGACCAGAGTTGTGGAAAAGCTGTGGAGAGAGCCTCAGGGGAGCCAGGTTCGGCACTCCCCACTGTTTCCCTTTCCCCACTACTTGTCCAGGCTGTAAAGCCCCGGGCCGCCCGGGCGCCATCACCCACAGAGGCGAGGGCCCCTCTGCCTGCTGTCCTGCTGCTCCCACCTGCCGGGGTGACCTCCAGAGCGCCAGGCAGGCTCTGTGTGCACCCCAAACCCCCCACTGCGAGGAAAGGGACACAGCCCAGAAAGGGTGCAGGCACCTGAGGTCCGAGCTGCCTGCCCGGGTTAGGTGCACACACTCACCGCTGACACGAGGGACCAGGGTCACGGCTGTGGGCTGGGGCCCCCCGCACGGCATTCTTCCTGCGCCGCTCCCACTCTGGAGGGAAAACACTGCCTTAACGAGGGCCCAGCTGTACTAGCCTATGTCACAGCACTAAGCACTGCTCGAGCCTGCCAGGTATGTTACCGACCCCCGTGTTAGTGTGCCTGCAGTTGTCTAACGGGGATGTGCTTCCACGCAGACTGCAGAGGCTGACCTGTAGCTGTTACTGGTATGGTCCCTGATACCAAAGAGAAAGGACTTCCATTTACAACCTCCTCCTCTTGACTGCCTTGAGAAAAATGTGTTGCATCCAGCCTGTAAGTTGGAAACATTAAAAAATTATTTTTTTGCTGTTGCTACATGTTCTCTGAGGAAGATAGATCTAATTTAAGAAAAGGATTACCGTACCATACTGGGTGGATAGCAGTGTCAGTACTGCTTTACTGCCTGTGCCTCACCACAGAGAAACCGAGATGGTCGTCATCTGGGGAACATGTCTTCTAAGACATGTTTGTGAATGGCAGCACAATGTTTTAAGTAGTTCACAAATAGTTTAATCCTAAACATTAAATGCTACCCAAGCAGGATCCTTCTCACATGAGGTGTGGGAGGAGGGAGGAAGGAGTTGGGCAGAAAGAGGGCAGCAGTCCCAAGAGTATAATCAAGAGTTAGATTGAAGTCAGGATAAAGGAAAATGAGGTAACAGTAGATACTAAGCCACAAGCCCAAATTTTGTAAACTGGTAGAAAAACCTCACCGTTACTGTCAAAAGAAGTGTGAATAAATGATCACAGAAGCAAGTGCTGGCATTCAGAGCATCACAAAACAAGATTAATGCATTTTTGATTCATAAGGCAACATTAAAAAGCAGAACGAAACCCAAGTAAGTAGTGTGAAATATCGTAGCCAGAATTTTTGAAAGTGTACAAAAACCACTTAAATCCAAGATTTATCCCTACTACCACTGCCACCACGTTCCTCTAAATTCCCCTTTTTTATTTTTAACACACACGGGAATGCATAGGCTTCCCCCTGTTCACTGCTTTAGCAGTTGTGACCAAGTCCAGTCCCCAAAAAGCTCCTGAGCCCTCATGGTTCAGCCCTGAACAGAGACTCCTGATCTTCCTGCTGTCTCCCACTGCCAAATTGTAGAAGTCACTAAGAAACAGTTATTGCAACATACAAATAAATGTCCTTTTTCACACTTCTGACAAGGTAGCATTGATTGGCAGTATTTTACAGAGCATGGCTGCCAACTCCACAAAAAAAACCTGGTAGTTGGAAATAGTTTATTTTAGTCAGTGTTGTTACACAATGTGTTGGCTTTGTCAGAGCCTGCTAAGGGAATCTACTGCTGGGCCGCAGCTCGTGTGTATCTGCCGGGGGGGTACTCGGTAAACTGGGTCAGTGGAGTGATTTGGTTTAAGACAACTTCTGCCACACCAGAAGGGTTTATCTGTGAAGCTGGTGAACTTTATTGGTTTTATGGGATGGCAGCAGTGGTATTAACACACAGGAGTAACTCCTGGAGGCTTCTGTAACTAAAGTCCAGTTAACATGTTTACTCACTTCAGTCAAATCCATGGATGCCCTCAAGTTAAGACAGATTACCTAGAAGCTACAATCGCCAGCTGCTAAACCGTTTTTCCCCAGAATAATCCATGCCTCCATCCTATTTGGAATTGCCTTGCTTTTGCCTTTTTTTTTTGGTACTCATCTCCAGGAGAATCTATTGTGCATAATTTGCAGGAGGGAAAGCAGCAGTAGAGTGCCAAGTCCTGCATTACAGCCCCATTTATAAACCCTCCTTACTAAAGATCAGGAGTTTCAGCTAGGTCATACAGAAACACAGGGATATGAGGAATATAAAGAACTTTTTAAAAATTGAGTTTTAATTTAGTTTCTTATTTGACATAATCTAAGGTGTTTTCTGGGGAGTTGTGTATCTTTGTACATGCTTAGACATTAAACTTCACCCTTACAACAGCATTCGGTAAGATTCAGCAGTAACATGTTAGAAGATCCAGAATTCAGTGTGATTTGATTTGGAGCTTTTGATTCTACCTTTTAGATTAAAGCAGCCTGAACATTAAGGACTTCTGGTGGGCCTCTTCTTCCTCCTCCTCTAGCCTTACTGTAGAGGTTTTCCCAGAAAATGTGTAGCTTTTAGCAAAGCACTGCAGATCATAGGTCAGTTTGGGAAGGAGTCCACGCAAATACGCCGTTTGCAGTGTTCCCCTTCGTATGCAGAGGATCAGTCTCTTAAGCAGGTTAGATTGATTAGATACAGCAGCAATAACAATCTGAATGCAGAGAGCAGAAGTACTGCTGCATTAATGCTGCAAGAATTTTAAAAATGTTCATCAGATGAATAAAGCTCAGAGCTTCCTCTTAATGACCGTTTCCACGGCAGAAATCGGAGCTTGTGCAAACGCCCCAGGCTCGACTAATCGTATCCCCAGTGTATATGGGAAAAATATTGTGCTAATACTACACAACAGCTTCGAGTCGCGGAGAAGAGCAGCGGGGCTTCCCCCTCTGCTGCCCACCCCGCTTACACACCCCGTGCTCCGGCAGCGCCCCAAAACCCGCGGCCCCCGCTGCCCCGGCTGGCGGGGGCGCGCACCTAAAATGGCAGCTCTGGCGGGAACAGCCAGCGCGGAGCTCTCGGCAGCGGCGCGCGTCTTCTAGACGCCGTTGCCGTTCCGAGCTGCCTGGGACGAGTAATCCCGGCCGGTATTTCCCCCTCCCGAGGGAGGCCCGCCGGCATAAACACCCCCCGCCCCTCCCCGCTCCCCTCACGGAGCCCCGCCCCGCCCCGCCCCGCCCCGCCCCGCCCCGCCCCGCCCCGCCCGCGGCTTCAACCGTACGGCAGCGCGACAGCGGCGCGCTCTGAGCGTGCCGTAAAGCGCGGCGGGGCGGGCATGGGGAAGCGGCGGGCCGGGCGGGAGCTGCTGCGCGGCCTCAGCAAGAAGCAGAAGCGGCACCTGAGGGCGTTCGGGGAGGAGCACCCCTTCTATGACAGGTGAGTGCCGGACCGGGCCGGGCCGGACCGGGCCGGCGGGCGGGGCCGCGCTGGTGGGTGATCGTGGGAGCTCGGGGCCGAGGCCGGCCTAGGCAGCGTCTGCCCCCTGCCAGCCTTGCCCCGGGCTCCTGAGGGAAGGGCGGGCGCCGCGCCTGCGTTTCGCGTCGCTGCTCCTCGGCCCAAGGTCTCGGAAGAAGAAGGAAAGGCAGAAAGTCTGGGCTCAGATTTGCTTGCAACAAAATGCTATGAAGCTCTCCTGTGCAGCCCCGCGGCTGCCGTGAGAAGTGGGAAGGTGGAGGAGTGTGAGTTGGACTCTTCTTCTGGCACTAGGTCGGTCCCTTGGCGGATGCGGGCTCCAGCTTTGCTCCCCGTGTGTCGCACACCCCTTTCTGATCCCGCGAAGGCGGCAGAACTACGGCGCCGAAGATCCAGTGTGACGAGAGCCGTGGCTTCCTCAGCACGATTCCCCTCTGTCAAAAAGGCTACCTTGCTTCTGGACCCCCACGTAAACTTGCAAGGAACGAGTGCCTTAGTCCAAATGCTTTGTGATTTGGTGAGAAGGCTTAGGAGCCTGTGAGTAAGACACTGTCAGGTCACCTGCCCAGTTTATATGCCTTTAGCAGCAGGTAAATAGCATTAAGGTCTGTTTGTGTGTGCCCTGGGACCCCCCTGGCATGTGTTGCCTGGGAAGGAAGGCAGAGTCCTGGCCTGCCGGGGAGCTGTGTCCTGTGCCTCACCCTCTGCAGTGGCGCTTTGGCCCACTGGAGGATCTGCATCTTTTTGAAAGAGTTGAGGTTAGTCTAAGAACAGCTTATACAGTGTCTTGTCTGCAGAAATGCAGTCCTAGCACTGGTTAATGCCGTTTTTCCTGTAATACGTGTCTTTTCCCACCTCTGCGGATCAGTATTTAGTGCTAGAGGCAGGCTCTTGCCCCGCTTAACTTTGTTGTACAAACTAC